TACAAAGGAATAAAAGAAAGAAAGAAAGAAAGAAAGAAAGAAAGAAAGAAAGAAAGAAAGGAAGGAAAAAGGAAAGAAAAAAAAGCTCCTTGTAAATTTACTGATTTTCTGACCTATCAGTACAGTTAAAATTCAGATTTACCTGAAGTGGATCAAGGTGAAGAAAGGAAGGAAGGAAGGACAGACGGACAGATGGAAGGAAGGACGGAAGGAAGGGAGACAGCCAGGCAACAGAGAGACAGAGAGACAGAGACAGAGAAAGACAGAGACAGAGAGAGACAGAGAAAGAGAGAGAGACAGAGAGAGAAAGAGAGAGGAAGAAAGACAGACAGACAGAAAGAAAGAAAGAAAGAAAGAAAGAAAGAAAGAACACCTCCTTGTAAATTTCCTGATTTTCTGACCTTTCAGAGTACAGTTAAAATGCAAAATTACCTGAGGTGGATCAAGGCGATGCCTTGGCTTCCTCTGTTGCTGCACTGTAACCTGTGAGCCATATAAACCCTTTCCTACTCCAGTTGGTTCTTGCCAGTAAAAAAGTGAGCACAGATGAGAGTTAACACATACAGCATACCTGGGTATGGTGGAAAGGGTGGGCCAGGAAAGTCCCTTGGTGGAAAATAGTCTGGACGACCTTCATAGATGTTTCCTGGAGGAGGCGGTGGGAATGGGGGTGGCCTTCTTGGATCCCATGCAAAGGGAGGACCTCTGGGGCCTCTATCCAGGGGAACAGGTGGAGGGATGAAGCCAGGGCCAGGTGTCTTGCATTCAGCAGGAGGAGTGGCGGGCACAGTGGAGTTCTGTAACAGAGTGACAATCAGCAGTCAGTAAAGAGGCTTGATGGACAGCTCCTTTGCTGGGTGTGTCAGGCATAGAACAAGGCAGTAGATGACATTCCACAAAGCTTCGGTACAGACTCAGGTTTCCACAGCTGTGAAGGAGACGCTTATGTGCTATCCTAAGTATTTTTACTAACTCAGCAGAAAACTTTAGGCATGGTAGTAATACTCTACCTGGCACAACCTAAAACATAAGTACAGTTCGAGCACAACAAAACAGTCATTTATAATAAAAAAAAGATATACACCAGGTAGTGGAGGCATGTGTCTTAATCCCACAACTCAGAAGGCAGAGATGGGTGGACCTCTGTCAGTTGCTGGTCAGCCTGATCAACAAAGTGATTTCTAGGTTGGCTCCATAGCTACTGGGTAACCAACCTGTCTCAAGGTGAAAAACCAAATAGAAAACAGATAGCCACTTTTATCAAACACACACACAGAGAGAACGGGAAATTGTGTAAGATATTCATATCTTCAAAATGACCAGAATCAATGTTATATTTTATAACTAGAATACATTTTAAGATTAAAAAATATTTCAAGGAAGAAAATCTGAAATAGTATACACCTAGAACAGAAGCGTTAAAGTTCTTCTAAAAGGTGTTCTCATTAAGTTGGGATACATAAGGTTCCTCTCTTTTTTGTTTTTGTCACATTTGTCATTTCACATGTATGATTGTTTTGCCTGCCTGCTTGTCTGCATAACATATACATTCACTGTTCTCCAAGGCTAGAATAGGGCTTCAGATCCCTTGAACCTGGAGATAAGAAGGGCTGTGAGCCACCACTCAGGTGCTGGGAATCAAACCCAAGTCATCCAGGAAATCAGTCAGGTCTTAACCTGTAAGCCTATTTGGTATTTGGAGGCAAAGTCTGCTTATATACCCCAGTATGTGTTTGAAGTTACAAGCCTCCTGCCTCAGCCTGCAAAAATGCTAGGATTACATGCACCATCAAAACCTTCTTGTGATCTGTACTATTTAACACAGGTTAAAAATCCAACAATGAAAGAACTAATGCTAACTAGAAGTATATTTTATTAATATCTTTATATCACATAGTAGAAGAGCTCTGGTCTTTATCTAAGAAAACCAAGAAACTAGTTGTGGATACATGGGTAGATTTCAATGTCCTATACTTACACAACGGTCACTTTTGTTATCACTCTTAGAGGGTGGCATTGCTGACAATTCTGGCTCATCTACACAGAAAAATTAAAACAAGAAAAAATTCATGAATTATCAATTCATTCCCAGAATGTTTCCAGATCCAAAAGACACTGACACGTTCCACCCCCCTGTCCCAGCAACTTGACACATATACACTAGCATTCCATACGAGAGTCCCCAAAGAAGCCTGAGATCGGTGGAAATTTCAATGGAACAGACGTTCTTTTGTACTGCAGTGGTCAACATTCCAGCTGGCTCCTAGGCACTCTTGCTGCAACAGCTTCAGTGAGCACCTGGGAAAGCACCATCCACTTCCTGTCTTTTCTGTATGCCCTCCTTTTCCTCAGTACATACTGTACACTTGTATGAAAGCACCCGCAAAGATAACTCAACAAAAATCCAATGAAGATTTAATTTCAGTTTTTATTCTTTTCATGTTATTTACATTAAAACCTACACCAGATGCACAGATTTCCCAGCTTCATGGGTAGTGAGTGATAGTTGAAGAGCTCCTGACAGATGTCAATCTACTACATATGAAATTATTAAATCAGATATCTATTAAAAACAAGAATCCAAATTAGTTTACAGGTAGTTTTTACATATCCATTGACATTTGCCTGCTTAATACCCTTGATGTGCTAAACAGCATACATGAATGTATTATAAATAATGAGAAGTTAGCTGTGAAAGAGAATAAAGTTTGTATTATAGTGAGACACACTCAGCTCTTGCTATGGAACCAACACTAACCTTTAACTCAGATATTAGAACATATGTCTGAAATGTGAGACAACATGAAAGTGCTGGAGAGATGATTCTGTGCTTAAGAGCACTGGCTGCTCTTACACAGGACCTGTGCTTAATTCCCAGCAACCACACAGCTGCTCACAAACAACAGTAACTCCAGATCCAGGAGCTCTGATGCCCTGTTCTGGTTTTCTCAGGAAATAGGCGTATATGTGGTACATACACAGAAATGCCATTTAGGTGACATAAAAACAAGTGAAAGTTTCTCAAAACACATTGAGAAATGCAAACAAAGGAAAATAAAGAAGGAGATGTGGCCTTAAGAGCAATCTGGGATCCTAATTAGAGTAGCCTATTGTTCAATTCCCAGACCTCTAGACTATCATAACTGTGTAATGTCAGATGCAAGATTGATTAATAACACAAACACACACACGCACACACACACACAGTATTTCTTACCCGATTCAAGCAAATGAGGTGTATTGTAATTTCCGTGGTGTCTTCGTCCAGGGAGTCTACCAGATTCAGAGTAAAATCTATCTTGCCTTTGTAGAAAATTATCACAATATGGTTGGCCTAGAAAATAAATTGTTATGATATCTTCATTAGGATAATCACAAGTGTAGTTTACTTCGCTTATATTGACTTAGACATTTCCTCCGCGTCCAAAATTACAATCGAAACCTGTCACCTGTTATTGAAAGGCACTAATCAAAAATTTGAGATAATGTAATTTCTTTACTTTATTTTTTCTTTTCTTTTTTTAAGTTTATTTGAGAAAGATTTTCTCAAAATTGCATTGGAGGATTCCTGGCACAGGCTCTCCTGGCTGGGCTGACTTGGAATTTAAAGAAATCCACATGCATTTGCCTCTGGAGTGCTGAGATTATAGGCGAGGTTCTCAAACCTCTGGCTTCCATTGGGTTCTTATTTAACAAGCATATGTTGACACACTTACAGCACATATGAAAATCTACACATGAAATGCTAAAACAAGACAACTTACAATATGTGAAAGCAGAATTCAGTTAAATACATTTCACCTTCAAATTAAAAATACTACCCCAAGAAAACCACATCAACATATTTTTAAAAATGCTGAGGAACAGCTGCAAAGCAAGAAGGAAAAACAAAGAATTATATTCTGATCAACAATTACATCGGTTATCTTGGCAGGCAGTAATCAAGAAACATCTTTAGCTTGACAATTTTCACAACCTTCAGAACGTGGGGTGTTAGTCCACACTAAAGGAAGGATGTGTCTCAACAGGTGAGGGAGGACTCACAGCATAGATGAAGGACAAATTCCCACACACAGTGTGCTGAAACTCTAAAACAAAGGCCTCAGGAGCCACACTCATTTAGAATAAAGAAATGGTCACCCTTCATTCCTTGAGAACTGAGCATTACAAAGTAATCAGACACTTTAACTCTTGAGAAGTGATGGCAGACTTTACTAAGTACAGTGGGCATATATCAATTCCCAACAGAGAGAGACAAAGAAGGGGAACTCTGTGGTTTCTCTTGTGTCCTGACAGGTTAAGCAAAACTGACACAGATAGAGTGGAGGGAATGTAAATTGGGAAAATTCCTTCATATGATCGAACTGTAGGCATTGCTTAATTAGGAGTCATTTCCTTAGTCACTGATAGATGCTGGGTGGTAATGTGGTCTTGGGATCCATTAGAAAGCAAGACAGTGAGAAGGATCACCCCATGGCCTCTGCATTAGCCTCTGCCTCAATGTTCCTGCACTGCTTGAGTTGATGTCATGACTTCCTTCAGTGATGACTACAATGTGGAAGAGTAATTCAAATAAATCCTTTCCTAGACAAGCCAATTTTGGTCATGGTGTTTGGTCACAGCAACAGTAACCCCAAAAGGGCCTAGGTCATGCCCTGATGAAATGACAGACTTGAGAAATCCCCACAAGGAGGTTCTCACCCTCCCTGGGGAATAATGTGGGGATTGGGTGGGGGGCTGGAGGACTTGTGGAGGCACAAGGTAGGAGGGGTGGGAGAGGAAGCTGGGATTGACATGTGAAGCATTCATGTTTCTAATTTAAATAAAAACATTATAGAAAAAGAGTAATCCCAAGAAAGATACTATCCTTCTACAGACCAACAAACAGTGTCAAGTTGCCTCCCATGACCTCATAATCACTGGTTCATGGTGTAAACCCCTTGAACTCAGTAATGGCTGTCACTCTCATCTAATTTAAGCTCACAGGACTACCTTGAATCATCTCCCCTGCACAAGACCAAGGAAACCACCTAGATGAAACAGTCAATGGAGAGAACCATATCTAATGAGCTTCCTAAATAAGATGATGTGACTAAGGAAAGTTCTTAAACTTCTGAATAGTAGGCTCACTTATACCACATTCCAGGTCTTAGCAAAAAGCTGTCTCAAAGGATCAGAATTCATCCCATGAAAGCAAAGGGTTAATAGAAACACCTGAATCTAAACAGATGCCCCCTTGCTCTTCGAAGATGGGCTTGCTTAAAAACTAAGGATGGAGTAGGGAACCTGACAGCTTAACTCATCCCTAATCAGATCTCAAGACACCACATTGGTATTTTGCTTCGAATGTTTATCAAAATATCAGAAACGCAGTGTTTCTGCTTTTGCAAAACATATACATTTTGCCCAGCACTAACAAAAAGTAGTCGGTTCCTTAGATCCAGGGACCATAGCTCAGCAGGAACAGAGCAGTCTGTTGGTCTCAATATAGTACATGCTCTCAGAATTTCATGGTAATAGATCTGTAGAGGTGAGGGCAGAGAGCAGACACCTAGGACAAATAAGCCTATTATTGTCTAATAATGAAAACATGATTTACTGTGTAGAAACTTGGGATTCCAAAAGGCAAGTATCCTGTAAAGGCAATCAATTCCCTTTATGTTAAAATGTAAGGGTAGGAAAGAATTTCAAAAAATTAAACAAATAACTAAGTAAGATCTTAGATTGTAAATATGATCCTGTGGGAACTACTATTTAGGAGAAATACCAAAATCACTTTAGTCAGTAATCTTAAGACGAAAATATAACCAGTTAATTTAAATAATTGCCACAGTTCACATAATTTTCATCTTAAAACTGCTTCTAGCTGGGCATTGGTGGCACACGCCATCAATATCAGCACTTTTGGAAGCAGAGACAGGTGGATCTATGTGAGTTCAAGGCTAGCCTGGTCTGCAGACTAAGACATCCAGGACAGGCTCCAAAGCTATAGAGAAACCCTGCCTGGGAAGATTGAAAAAAGATAGGAAATAGCAAAGAAAGAAAGAAAGAAAGAAAGAAAGAAGGAAGGAAGGAAGGAAGGAAGGAAGGAAGGAAGGAAGGAAAGAAGGAAGAAAGGGAAGGAAAGAAGGAAGGAAAGAAAGAAGGAAGGAAGTAAAGAAAGAAACAAAGAAATAGAGGGGGAGGGAGGGAGCGAGGGAGGGAGGGAAGGAGGGAGGGAGGGGGTACAGACAGTCACAGAGACCACAGAGAGACAGACAAACAGACAAAAAGAATGAAAGAAAGTAAGAATGAAAGAAAGAAGAGTTCCTCGTAACTGATTTTCTGACCTATAAGACTACAGTTAAAATTCAAAAATACCTGAGTTGGATCAAGGTGAAGCCTTGGCTTCCTCTGTTGCTGGACTGTGACCTGTGAGCCATATAAACCCTATCCTCCTCCAGTTGGTACTTGCCAGAGTTTTTCACAGTAACAATAAGGGCACAGATAAGAGTTGACACATACATGGACTTTTAAAACAGCATACCTGGGTATGGTGGGTAGGGTGGGCCAACGAAGTCCCTTGTTGGAAAAAAATCTGGGGGACTCCCATAGATATTTCCTGCAGGATGTGGCATCAATGGGGGTGGCCTCCTTGGATCCCCTGCAAAGGGAGGACCTCTAGGGCCTCTATCCTGGGGAACAGGAGGAGGGATGAAGCCAGGGCCAGGTGTCTTGCATTCAGCAGCAGGAGTGTTGGGCACAGTGGAGTTCTGTAACAGAGTGACAATCAGCAGTCAGTAAAGAGGCTTCATGGACAGCTCCTTTGCTGGGGGTGTCAGGCATAGAAGAAAGTAGACCATGTCATTCCACAAAGCCTGGGTAGAGCCTCAATTTTCCACACCTGTGTAGGAGCTGCTATGTGCTATCCTACGTATTTCTATTAACTCAGCAGAAAAGATTAGGCATGGTAGTAATACTCTACATGGCTCTACCTAAAACACAATTACATTTAAAGCACATCAAAACAACCACTAAAAAAATAGAAACACACCAGGTAGGGGAGGCACAGAGCTCAGAGGCACAGTCAGGGATCTCTGACAGTAACAGGCTCGCCTCGTCAAAAGAATGAGTTCTAGGCCTGGCACTATAGCTATTGAGAAACCTGTCTCAAAGTGAAAAAAACAAAAACAAATAACAGATAGCCACTTTTATGAAACACGCACGTACCGAGAATAGGAAAGTGGTTAAGATACTGATATTTTCAAAATGTTCAAAAGCAATACTATCTTTTAAAGTTAAATATATTTTAATTTTCAAATATGATTTTAAGGAAGAAAATCTGAAATAGTGTACAGCTAGAACAGAAGCTTTAAAGTTCTTCTAAATGTCCCTATTTAAGTGGGAGACATCAAGTTTCTCTCTCTTGTTTGTTTTTGTCATATTTGTCATTTCACATGTATGAGAGTTTTGCTTGCATGCATGTCTGCATAACATATACATTGACTGTTCTCCCAGGCTAGAATAGGGCTTCAGATCTTTTGAAACTTGAGTTAAGAAGGGTTGTGAGCCACCACACAGGTGCGGGGAATTGAACTCACGTCCTCCAGAAAAACAGCAGGTGCTCCTGTAAGCCATTTCTCCAACCTATTTGGTTTTTGGAGACAATATCTGCTTATATAGCCCACACTGGTTTTGAAGTCACAATACTCCTGCCTCACCCTGCCAAAATGCTTCGATTACATGAACCATCTAAACCTGCCTGTGATCTGATGTATTTAACACAAGGTTAAAATACAACAAGGCAAGAGTTAATGCTAAGTAGAAGTATATTTTATTAATATCTTGATATCACATGGGAGAAGAGCTCTAGCATTTGTCTAATTAAACCAAGAAACTAGTTGTGGATACATGGGTTAAATTCACTTTCCAATACTTACCCCAGGGTCACTTTTGTTATCATTCTCAGTGGATGGTTCTGCTGACGATTCTGGCTCATCTACACAAAATTATTAAACCAGAAAAAATTCATGAGTTCCCAATTCATTCCCAGACCATTAACAGATCCAAATGACACTGACACGTTCCACTTCCCTTTCTCAGACAGGGGACAACTTCATACAAATACACTAGTATACCACATGAGAGTCCCCAAAGCAGCCTGACACCTGTGTAAATTTCAATGGAACAGACATTCTTTGGCAGTGTGCTGGTGATCATTCAAAGCTGGCTCTGAGGCACTCTTGCTGCAGAAGCCTCACTGAACACCTGAGGAAGCCCCATCCACTCCCTGACTTTTTGTGTGCCCTCCTTTCTCTCAGTACATAACATACACTTGTATGAAGGCACCCTCATAGATAACTCAACAATATACAATGAAGATTTAATTTTCAGAATTTTATTCTTTCTAGATGCTATTTATATTAATACCCACACTAGATGCACACATTTCCCAGCCTCAGTAGGTAGTGAGTGATAGTTGAACAGCTCCTGACAGATGTCAATCTACTACATATGAAGTGATTAAATCAGATAACTAATTGAGAACAAGAACCCAAATTATTTTACAGGTAGTTTTTGTATCTCCCTTGACATTTACCAGTCTAATGCCCTTGATGGCTAAACAGCACATATGTAAATAGATTATACACAATGATAAATTAGCTGTGGAACATAGTACAGTTTGTATTATAGTGAGATGCACTCAGCCCTTTTTTTTGTTTGTTTGTTTTTATGAGACAGGGTTTCTCTGTACTCGTACTCACAGTGATCTGCCTGCCTCTGCCTCCCAAGTGCTGGGATTAAAGGCATGTGCCACCACCGCTCGGCTGCACTCAGCTCTTACTATGGAACCAAAACTAACCTTTAACTCATATATTAGAACACATGCCTGAAATATGAGACAACTTGGAAAGATGGTTCTGTGCTTAAGAGCACTGGCTGCTCTTACACAGGACTTGTGCTTAATTCCCAGCAACCACACAGCAGCTCACAACCACCTGAGACTCTACTTCCAGGAGCTCTGATGCCCTGTTCTGGCCTTCTCAGGTATCAGGCATGTATGTGGTACATACACAGAAATGCTACACAGGTGACATAAAAACAAACAAAACCTTTTTCAAAATGACCATGAAATTACAAACACATGAAATTTTCTAAGGATCTGTGGTCTTATGAGCAATCGAGGATAGTAATTACTTTAGCTTTTTGGTCAAATCATAGTCTTTTAGACTGTCACAACTATTTAATCTCAGATGCAAGCATGCATACAAACACAAAAACCTTCATATATATAAACACACATACCCACATCGACATACACACACACACGCACACACACACACACACACACACACGCACACACATGCAATGTCCAGTGCTCTCACACACAATATTTCTTACCCACTTCAAGCAAAGTTGGCATTTTACATATTGTGTGCTTTCTCCGTCCAGAGCGTCTACCAGACTTAGAGTAAAATCTATCTTGCCTTTGTAGAGCAACATCAGTACGTGGTTGGCCTAGAAAACAAATTTTTAGAATATCTTCATTGGGATGATCATACACCTAGTTTACTTGAGCTTATACTGACTTAGATGTTTTTTCTGCACCCAAAATTAAAAACAAAACCTATCACATCTCATTAGTAAGCACTAATCAACTATTTGAGAGATGGTACATTTCCCTTAATTTCTAATTTCTTTTCTTTTTGCTAATTACTTTTTAGTTTTTGAGATGAGGTTTCTCAGTGTTACATTGAAGTTCTTCTGGAATAAGTTCTGTTGGCCAGGCTGGTCTCAAACTCACAGAGGTACACCTGAATCTGGTTCTCGAATACTGAGACTATAGGAATGGGCCACCAATGCCTGGCTGCCTATGCATTCTTTTTTTTTTTTTTGGTTTTTACGAGACAGGGGTTCTCTGTATTGTTTTGGAGGCTGTCAGTCCAGCCTGGCCTTGAACTCACAGAGGCATTCTCATTCAATAATTTTACTTTGACAAAATTACAGCACATATGTAAATCTACACATGAAATGCTGTAAGACAACTTACAATATTGAAAGCAGAATTCAGTTTCATTCATTTCAACTTCAAATTAAAATACTACCCCAAGAAAACCACATCATCAACATGTTTAAAAAATGCTGAGGAGCAGCTGCAAAGCAAGAAGGAAAAATAGAGAAATATATTCTGCTCAACAATTACATTGGTTATTTTGGAAGGCAGAAATCCAGAAACATCTTAGGTTTGACAATTTTCAGAACGTGGGATGTTAGTCCACACTGAAGGATCTGACTCAACAGGTGAGGGAGGAGTCACAGCGCAGATGAAGGACACATTCCCGCACACAGTGTATTGATACTCTAAAACAAAGGCCTTTGTGAAAATCCAACACCCCTTCATGACAAAGCCTTGTCTGTGTGGCACTGGCTTTAGAGTTAAGGATAGAAGAAAGGAATTAAGGACAGGCATGTGTCAAGGGTGTGGATGAATGGAGGCCTAGTAGAATGGCATTTCATGAAGCTGTGAAGTTGAAACCTGGATTGCCCTGGAATCCCAAGATGTTAGAGATGCCAGAGTCAAGGGACACCTGCCAAGAGGAACTGCAACAGGGAGTGCAACCAGCCCAAGAAAGAGCAGTGCATTGCAGTCAACAAAGCTGAACAGAGTTGGAGATCTGAAGTGTGCTCTGACATCACACAGGGAGATCTGCAGTTTGGAGTTGCCCGGTTGGTGTTTGGTCTTGCTTTGGTCCTGTGTTTCCTCACTATGTTTTGTAATGCTAAATGTATACCCTGTGCCATTATGCCTTGATTTTGAATTTTTCCGGTGATTGCAGTTAAGAGATTGCATGAATCTTAGAAGGAACCTTGGACTTTAAAAGAATAAAACATTGTGATGGACTAAATGTGGTTTACATTATGATACTGTTACAAAATTTGGGGGATAGGGAGTGAAATGTAATAGTTTGAATGTAACTGGCACCCATAATTTCACAGGGAGTAGCACAGTCAGGAGGTATGGCTTTATTGTAGTTGGAGTGGGTATGTCCTTGTTGGAGGCAGTGTGACACTGTGGGAGAGGGCTTTAAGGTATTCTATGCTCAGACTAGCACACAGAATTTCAGTAGACTTACTGTTGCCTACAAAATGTAGGACTCTCAACTCTTCTTCCAGCACCACATCTGTCTGTATGCCACCATGGTCCCTGCCATGATGATAATGGGCTGAACCTCTGAAACTGTAAGGGGGCCACTCCAGTTAAATGTTTCCTTTGTAAAAGTTGCTGTGATCATGGTGTCTCTTCACAGCAATAAAAGCCCTAACTAAGACACCATCCTAAAACAGGACAGTTGCTCAACTATGTTCTAGCAGCTTTATTCGTAAGACCCAGAGACTGGATACAATTCAGAAGTTCATCATCCAAAGAAATGATAAAGAACTGTGGTGCATTTACACAATGCAGTGTCACATAGGGAAAAAACATGAAATTTGCAGATAAATACAAGGAATTAGAAAAAATCATCCTGAGTGAGCTAACATAGACCTAGAAAAACAAACATGGTATATACCACTTATGAGTGGGTATCAGCTATTAAGAAAGGATAATCATGCTACAATCACAAACCCAGAGAGGTTATGTAACAAGGACAGGTGGGGCGGGAAGGGATATGCTTTAATTTCCCTAGGAAAGTGAAATAGAATAGATTTAGTGAGTGGACTGGGGGCAAATGGGGATGGAAACAGGAGGGCCAGGTTAGGGTGCAGGGTAGGGGGAGAGAGTACAGGGAGAGATGAGTGGAATTGAGGGGTCATTTCAGAGATGAACTAGAAAACCTAGTGCAATACAAACTCCCAGGAATCTACAAGGGTGACACCATTTAAGACAAGTAATAGGAGATAGAGACTGAACCTGTCATATTCTATTACCAGTTGAGGGACTGAGAGTCCAACTCAGCAGAAAAACGTTCAACGTCCAAGCAGTCCTGCCTGCAAAATATGGTGGGGTAAAGTGGCTCACAGCGTGTGGGTGTGGCCAACTGTGGGGGTTTGAAAGAAAATTGCTCCCAAAGGGAGTGGCACTATTAGGAAGTATGGTTTTGTTGCAGGAGTGAGTCACGGTGTGGAAGAGGAGACGGGGGAACTGGGGTTTGTATGCAAAATGAAAAAAATTTTGAGAAGTTTGTGGATCTATATAATTATATGTTATGAACAAAATACATGAATTTATATTCAGAAAGACATCGTAAGGTCAAAACCCAAAGGGACTATCACCTGGAGAGATGTGAACATCACTTCCTAACACATGCTTACCATTGCTTCAACCATTGTCTGCTTTTATGCAAGGATTAGATATTAATTTTCCGTTTTGTTTTTAAAGTAAGATTATGCACAGAAGGTTACATATAACCTATATTTACACACTCCTATTGGTCAAAATGCCCAATTCAATGTCTTGATCTTTGACGACTCCTATTATCACTTCAATAATGCAGACTAATTGAAACAAAAAGGAAACTAATTGTGTTATTGTTTCATGTTCCCATCTTGATACAAAGAACAAATTATGACTGAGCCAGAACTGGGTCACTGGGATTCACAGAGTAGAAAACCAAAATTTATTACTACGGGCCTGAATTAGTACTTAAATTATATTTGTTTTCTTGAGCTGCCAATTTTAGGTCAGATATAGAAAAATTATGCATCTTGTATGCACAATAAAATTCCTGGCCTGTTTTAAGTATAAATAGCTAACAGAGAGTAAGATCCTGGTCCCGGGAGAGAAAGAAGAAAAGTGGTTTAAACAGAGATGTAATGATCTCAGGATTACAAATCTTTAAATATAATACTTGATTGTGGATAAACACCAAAATCATAAGTTCTTTCTTCATGGAAACAATGCTTACACTGATAAATTTCCTGAATCAAGTAATAAACTGGCAATGAAGAAGAACAAGCTCATGTTGTAAAAATCTAGAATCAGAACAGGGGAAACAATGCATTCAGTACAAAGCTTATCTGTCTAGAGCAGAAACACCACCTGACCACTGTTCCCAACAACACCCAGGAAACATTCCAGTCACATTCACACTGCTGTGCTACAGAATGTGTACTCACTCCGTGCCTTGACACCGAAGAAAAACCCAACTGCAGGTGAAAACCACGGGCTGAACACACCAACAGGAAACTCATTGGTTGGGTCTCACTTTCTCCATTCCTATCAGTGTGCAAGACCAAGAAGAGGAACCCCAGTCCGAAGACACTTGAACTCCCTACCTCAGAGAGAGGGGCCTCGTGGCGGTTACACTGTGGCAACTCTCTTAACTCAGCCCACAGGAAGCAATCACCAAGCTAAGAATAAAATGACAGTGGTGGTGGTCCACACTCTTAATTCCAGCACTCCATGGGCAGAAACAGGAATCTCCAAATTCAAGGCCAGCCTGGTCAACACAGCAAATTAAAGGGCTACACACACACAAACCCTGTGTTAAGAAACAAATAAACAAAATCAATAAATGGATAAACAGTTAAAAAGAGAGAGAAATTATTTTAAAAAACCAATCACTAGGACCAGCAAGATATAGAGGAAAGGGCTCACTGTGTGATCCTGAGAACCTGACAGGTGTCCAGAACCTACTGTAGAAAGATAATCTTCCAGTTTTCCTCTGATCACCATATATTCTGCATGAGAGTGGACTCGTGTGTGCCTGCTGGCTCGCTCTCCTCCTCTCTCTCTCTCTCTCTCTCTCTCTCTCTCTCTCTCTCTCTCTCTCTCTCTCTCTCTCTCTTCTATCTCTCTCTATCACTCTCTCTCACACACACAAATACACAAACATTGTTTTTGAATTGTGTAAAGAAAACTAGTCAGTGAACTAAGTTAAAAAAATTCTGAAAATAATTATAAATTATCCCTGCTTTCATTAAAGTATAATAAATATTTAAATTTTTAAAGTTTATTACTTTTTTGAGTCGTTCATATCTAACTCCAAGAAGGATACATATTTTGTAAGATATTTAAATCAGAAAAAACACAAATGTATTCCCTTTTATATAATTTTTGTGTGCAGATGTTTTGTGTACATGCATGCCTGTGCACTAAACACATGCCTGGACATTACAGGCAAGCTGTGCTCTACATGCATGCCTGGTGAACTACATGTATGTATATCTGTGCACTACATGCATGCATATGCACTATATGCATCCTTATACACTAGGCAGCAGAAGAAGCCATTCGATTGCCCAGAGTTTAACTGCCTTGTGCATGCTGGGAACCAAGCCCCATTCTTCTGGAAGAGTAGCCGGTCACAACCACTGAGCAAATATCTCCAGTTCCAGACACTTCTCTTTTGAGCCACTGAATTGTTGGTATAGGTTAAAAAAGTAATTTATGGAACCATGTTTGTGTCAAACTGGCTGGTTTTATTATTATCAATGTCAAACAAGACGTTAAATCAATCAAAATTTATTTGATTAAACATACAGGTGCCTTTACATTTGTCTACAACCAGTGTGAACAAATTTCTGATATGAACACACTGCCTTTTTGAGTTTAGGTATCCCCATCTATCAAATTACATCTATAAATCTGCCATAATTATGGATGGAGTAATCAAAGTAAATCGTACTACCAAGAATAAAATGCAATGGAAATAATTTACTCTTAAGATTCATATTTAAATCTTTATTTACAAAATACTATCCTGAGAATTATAAATCCACCCAGCTTCAATATGAGCAAAAATATAGTCATGTAAGTAACAACAGTTACATAAACCAAAAATGAAAAGAAATGACCACCAAGGAAACTATCAGGTCTTCTGTGTTTCTGGAGGTTAGGGTGCAGGTTGTTAGGAAGGCAGAATCAAGTCTGGGGCTCTCATTTCTACTTTCAAGATGTGGGCGTGGGGGGAAGAACCCAGCTCTTGGGGGAAGGTAAGGTGGAAAGCCCCTCGGTTGGTACACATTTCTCCCTGTTGGAAGATATGGGTAAAGGACAGTGGAATTTGAAACCCTGTAGTGCACACTTGTTAAACACTAGTGCCAGCCCCTATTCCAATATCCAAACACTCACGCCACAATACTTGATCTCACAAATAAATCTTGACATTGAAAAATGTACTTCTTAAATACATAGGATTAATAAGAACATCACTGTCAGTTTCAGGTGTATTTGTCCTGCCTTGGGAGGTACCCAAGATCTCAATACACTCAAGACTTCCTGTAAAACAGCTTTTCAATGGAGTAAAATTTTCACACTTAATATGAGATCTGTGATCCTGACCTGACATCCTACTAAAAGAATTTCTTATAAGGCCAAGGAACACCTTTAAACTTCCCACACAAAACTCATTTCATTCCCATTGAAGTTTAGGAGTAGAGGTGAAGGCAGAGAGCAGACACCTAGGACAGCTAAGCTGGTTCTTGTCTAGTACTAGGAAGCATCATTTACTGTGTAGAAACTTATTCCAAAGGGTAAAGTATGCTGTAAAGGCAATAAATTTATTTTAAAACTGTAAGGGTATGAAGGAATTTCAATTAATTCAACAAATAACTAAATATGTACTTAGATTTTATATATGATGTGGGAAGCCTTGGCTTCCTTTGTTGCTGAACTGCAACCTGTGAGCCATAAAAACCCTTTCCTCCTACAGTTGGTGCTGGCCGGTGTTTATCACAGTAACAAGAAGAGCACGGATGAAAGTTTACACATACATGGACTTTTTAAAAAAAAAAAGCCTACCTGGGTATGACCGGAAGGGTGGGCCAATGAAATCCCTTGGTGGAAAATAGGCAGGAGGACCTGCATAGATATTTCCTGGAGGAGGTGGAGGCAATGGGGGTGGCCTTCTTGGATCCCCTGCAAAGGGAGGGTCCCTGGGGCTTCTATCCTGGGGAACAGGTGGAGGAACTAAGACAGGACCAGGTGTCTTCCACTCAGCAGGAGGAGAGTTGGGCACAGTTGAGTTCTGTAACACAGTGACAATCAGCAGTTCATTGCCTTGGTCAGCTTTTTCTTTCCTTACTTCAGCTTCCTGGAAGAGCTGACAGGAAAACAGTAACAAGGATGTGAACAATAACACATGCTTAGATACATTTATTTACATGTTTATATGGATCATTAAAAGATATTAAAAACGTAGGGCTGCGTCTTTAAAAATGAATTCAGATGTGGCTCCCTTTTATAAAGAACTTTCAAAACAGAAGACTGTGAAATAATATTCTGCAACTGATTTACAAGATATAGTTTTATCAAGTGCAAGATTTTGACACATACTTGTCTGATAAATCTAGGCAATTTTTCTTCCTATCTCGTGTAATCATTACTTTAATGATGTTTTTTTAGTCAACATGCTGCTTTGTTCAGGATTGTCTGAAGACAGGTAACCCTCAAGAATACTATAAATCAAGAACAGAGATTCTGCAGGTTCTCTGAGCCTGAGCTGCACTGTGAGTTCCTGTCTAGCTTGGACTACATGGTAGAAGTGAGGAGGAGGCACATTTGATTATAGCATGGGAAATCTACACAAGAGTCCTCACCACCATGTTCTCTGAAATCTAAGATGACAAGACAAAGACATAAAAGGAAAGGCATCAGCCCAAAAGGAAATGGACAAATAGCATTAGGGACACAACTGTGATAAAAGGCAGAAGAAACCTAAGCCGGTTAGACAAACAGAAAATAAGATGACTTCACACAATGATTTCAAAGCAGTAGTAAGAGAGTGATGAGTGGAAACCAAACAGGAAGACCTGGGGAATTGGAGGGACAGATGAGTACTTAAAAACACATCCTGCTCTTGCAGAAGACCCACACTCAATTCCCTGCACCTGCACTGAGAAGCTTACAAGTGCCTATAATTCCAGAGGCTCTAATGTCCTCTTCTGGCCTCCTTGGGTGCCTGCACACATACGCACATACCAACACACAGATGCACACACATTCATGCTCCTGCTTTCTCTCCATCCTCCCTCCTGCTCCTGTCTTCTGCTAGACATGCATATACACATCTCATTCTTTGTTTCTTTTAGGCATACATATAGCTGGATGTTTCATCCCTACTGGTGATCTTCAATAGTGCTGAAAG